TTCTCTTAAAATGTTTTCTAAAATAGGTCAGTTCTAATATTAACCAAACCTTGCTTTTAGTATTGATATCATTTAAGAAAAATACTGTTTCAAGATGAAGTATTTTTTTAAAATTTTAAAAATAAAACAGGGGCGGTAATATTACAAAATTTAAAAGCCCTTTACAATGTTTTGTTTTCACATGGCTTTGAAAATTTTTAATGTTTCTTACTTTCGCTTGTGTCAATATTTTGTTATAAAATTTTGATATTTCAGTTAATTAAAAAAGGAGAATATGCAATCAATAGTGGTAACAATAACAAAAAATCTAATGTGCTCATTCAAATGGAGTGAAGGACAGAAAAGATGCCAACAATTTTAAGTGTTGATAATCATTCAAATACTTTAAGATGAATGATTATCAATAATCGTCAGAAGCATGAATTTATTGAAAAGTAAGAATATTACATCTCCGAAATTCCATACTTACAAGTAAAGTTACTGTTTAGAGAAAGCTTGCATTTCATTAGTTTGTAACAGTGTTAATATTGCGTAGTGTTAGACTGCTTCCATACTTTACTTGCAATCAACCTAAAACTTAACCTACTATGATTTTTATAATCTTTAAAAGTTTATATTTATTACGCTAAAATTTCATTTAAATGATATGCTCTCTTACCGAAATATTCATATAGCTAGGGTTTTACTCGTTAAATTCACATAGCTAATAGAGCCGATAAAATTTATAAGATTCCGTCGGACAATCTTTAAGTAAAAGCTAGATGAAGTAATATTGGGATAAGTAACAGTGCTTCAGACTTGAAAAATTTTAAATCTTATTTTTTAAAATGTATATCGATTTCCATACTAGTCAAGAACGCACTTAATGAACCTCACTCATTTATATACTAATTTTTAGAACTCTAGCATATTTACTACGCCACGTCAATTTAGTTTTATGGTCATGTAGTTTTTTATATTTTATTCTATAGAATTTTTCGTTAGCTAGAATTTTATTAGGAATAGTGTTGATTTAATAGATCTTCGTGTAATACTTTTTAAGAAATTTAGTTTTAAGAAACCTGGATGCTGAAAGTAATAGTCTGTTAAGTGTTGATGAAATGAATTAAAAGTATTGTTACGAAATGAACATTCATTTTGAAAAATTTATAAAATTTATTTTACTGTCAATTACTGAAATTTAGCATTTGAACCTAACATTCGCGGTAGTTAAGAGAAAAAACACAATTTTTGTTATTGAGAATGTATTTAAAAAAATTTAACCATGAAACAAAAATTCATCACATTAGAAATTTTTGGATATTATTTTTCTCATTACAAGTTCAGCAACTAAATTTTTTTTTTATCCTCTAACTTGTGTATCTGGAATAAGTACATTTGAGACAGTTGAAAGTAAGAAAAAGTTAAATGTTAAAATTCAAAAGCTTACGCCGTTTACATTTTAAATTGTTAAATTATTAACATTTCAGAACTCAAATAGTTTAGCTTCTACATTCCTCGCATAAATTTTACAACCTTGGAACAATAAAGTAAAGGGTGATAAAACGTGCTGTTACGCGAATTAAAATTAACCTTTATGATAAAATTCAATGCGTGGAACGAAATTTAAATCCTGCGTAGATGTAGGTTAACGTTTGTTTACTTCAACTTTAGAATGGTATAAAAATTTTACATTACTTATTACCACAGCTTTATTCTTAAGGCTACAGTGGACGTTCAAAAATTTTTTTTTTAATTTTTATGCTACACTAAAACTTTTTTTATAACTTATGTATTCTATCAAGATATGCCCTTGCAAAAATTTTTGTAAAAAATATTTGGACCATTTTTGAGAAATTTAAAATTTTTTAAAAAAAATTTCATCAATTTTAAAATGCTCCCAGCGGCTTAAATTAAAATTTTTATTTATTTTTTTTTAAATTCTTTTTTTAGAGATAAATGTTAGAAGCTTTATGCATTATATAGGAATTTTCCTAAATTTATTTTAAATTTATGACCAAAAAACAAATTTCATGTAGATTTTTGTTTCAAAATAAAGGTCGTTAGGTACATGAAACCCGATAACTCTTTTATTACTTGTTATAAAACAGAAACAAATGCATAAACTTAATCTAATATACATATAAATAACTAGAAAAAAATTTCATCTCAATAGGATGAAAACAAAGTCGACTGGAACATTTTGAATACGTGAAACATAACAAAATTTCAATTTTGAGAAAAACAGCTTTTTGTGTAAGAAAAGGGGCGTGGCTTCATAATGTGAAAACGAAACTACCCTATAACTTCTCAAAAAATGACGAAATTTAAAAAAAAAAAAATTCAGTTGAAAAAGCAATGAAACAAGTGTCTAAATATGTCCACAAAAAAAAACGAAATTTTTATCAATTTTTGGCAATATAAAGGTCCACTGTAGCCTTAACGTCCACAAACCGAAGATAATTTTAAGAAACTTCAGAATAAATACATTTATTTTAACAGACAAAATGTGGGAGACTAAATATTTTGCCCTCCTTCTCAAGCAAATATCAGGATGAAACAAAAACGAGATGCAAGTGTCAAAAGTTTATATTTGTTTACATTTCCGATCACTTCTTGACGGTACATTCCAACACTTCAACACCCCACTGTCAATGCAGGAAGCAGGAAGATGCAGAAACGTAGGAGAAATACAGCAAAAAAATACTAATATTGAGCTCAAATTCACGTCACCGAGAGGAATCCCGGTCGCCGCCTAATGCCCGTAGGTACCGCTGCTAAAAAAGCAGGCCATCGTCCCGGAATATATTCGATCAAAATGATCCAAGGAGGTTTACCGAGTAGGTCGCTTCTTACTGTGGAAACTCTTCATCCATAACGTAAGGAAGAAACAGGAAATCCGCCTTGTTTTCTTTACTCCCGTGTATTCCACATTAATTAGTTGTCCGTAATAACGATATTAGACTTCTCATACTTATTAAACATTACTTGAATTTCCGATTCAGAATATCAGAAATATAAGAGTTAATTTTACTCATATGATTGGTTTCTTGATTTTGCAGATGGGATTATGCGTTCGTATTAACGTCAAACATTGCCAAAGTATAAAACTGGAGGTTTGTACTAAGTTTTTAAAGTATATTTTTAGAATAAACATATGGGAATACTTGGAATGATTAGGAATTTTTCGAAAATTTAATGCCAGCATTGAATTAAAGTCACTGAACAAGACACCAATTTCACATAAAGTAAATCAGTAGAATAATTCCAGTCATCTAAACAGACATTCCTTGATAAATGTTTTTCAAAAATGATTAAACAGTATCTTGTTAGAAGGATTTATATCTATAAAGTGAAGAAATAAACAAATCATTAAAACCGGAAAGGAAATTTATAGAGGAATGCATAGGAGTTTAAGTGGTGCACGGAGATTTTTTAGCAGACTTAAGTTTAGCTAAACCCAATAACCGATTCATTATTCCACATTTATAATTTTTTAGCAGAAGGACTTGTTTTTATAAAAAATTCTCTTGCAACTATTTCAATAAGTGAAACAGCTACAACTTGAAACTAAAACCAGGAAGGTGGCTACAATTTCATTAAACTAGACGAAAATTTTTGGTTTGATTAATTTTAAATTTCAAATCAAATAGCCATTGGTTAACTAAAAAATATACACTTCAATTAGTTCAAGAGTACTTATACAGTATGGAATAGTTAGAATGTTACAGAAAGTGATTAATCACTATTTCAGTTTGATGACATAAAAATCACAAACGAAAGTAAGGAAATTCTGAATTTCACGATTCGAAGCAAAAATGAGAGTGATACGAGTTCACAGGTAACGAACTGAAGCACAACAAATCCACTGGGAAAAAAAGAAACCGTTACTTAATCAGAAATTACCGAGCTGTGTCTTAATCTGCTAAACATTGCTTTTATTGAATGAAAACTTGAGCAATGAGAGAAACTGGGGACTTTAAAGAGCTTTCAATGAAAGCGTTCCACTCAATTGGATTTTTAATTTAATTATCTCAAGAAAATTAGAAAAAAAAAATCAGTTTTAATGTATTAGGAGAAAGTCGTACATGTGACAGTTACACGAAAGCTGTGAACATTTTAATTTCAAAATAAAAAAACCTCCTTTTTTAGAAGACTAACAGTCAAATAAAAGGTAATAATCACTAGTAAAATGCTGAACTTTAAAAACAGTTTTCAAATATGAATTTTTTATGCTCTGTATGAATAAATATAATCAGGTTTAAGAGCATGCATTTGTGGCGAAAAACGAATGTGGTGAAAACGATTAGAGTAATTTCTTTAATTTTTTTAAAAAGTTTTCAGCTGTAGTTTATTATATTAATTAAAATTCATAATATTTTATTATAAAAAGCACATCATCAAGACCCTTAAATTTTATTTCATAATTATACATTTATATATGTTATTAAAAGATGCACTTGACTCTAAACATATTTTTCTTGTTCATCAGAAAAGAAAGGCTCATGATTTGTGTTCTCATTTGGAAAAAAAAATTAGCCAATGACTAGCTTGCGTCAGCTGGAATTTTAAATTGATAAAATAAAAAAAATAAAAAATACATAAATTCCGAAATCACAGAAGTTTAAAATATAATTTGCACTAGAAATGTTCTTTCGTTTTGAAAGAACGCCATAATTTTTAAGAACACCATAAGAACATTTCATATTTTAATAAAATTTGACGGAATGGGGATTTTGTTACAAATTCAGATATTTGGAACACTGAAATTGAGGGGGCAAATTCCATTTTTAAATGAGATTTTTCAGAGACTTAAATCCACGAATTCCCACGATTTAAAAAAAAAAAATCGTTCAAATCATGACAAATTTTGTTCAAAACTGAAAACTGCGACTTTCCAGGTGTGCGGATACCCTGCATATTAATTTCTTACCAGAAAACAGAACTATCAAAAGTTTATTATTAAACGTGCCAAACTTAAAACTTTAAAACATTTAAAAATAAAATTGAAATTTACTTACCGCCAGAGGCCATGAAATCATTATACCAATCAACAACTGACCACAATAAAGCCATAGTGACTGAAAAATAAATATCGGAAAAACTAATTAAAATTCTATCTAAAAATGGAGTTTGCTAGGGTAGGCAAAACACCACCCCTGCCGACTTAATAAATATCCGATGTGCAAGTGCCACGAGAACTGGCTTCTATCATTTTCGTTTAAATACGGGGCACTCTTGCGTAGCTGACGTCAAGACGATCGTAGCGCCCCTGAATTCACGCGGGTTGCCAATCGCCAGTGGTTTATTTTCTTTGCCAGTGTCTTTTGTTACCTGCGATTATGTTTCAGAATGAATGAGATACGGATCAAAGGGGGATAATTTTAGATTTCTGACGTCCATCTTCATAAAATTGACACATGTATTTCAATTGTCTAAGATTTAACATAAGTAGAGTTTTATTCGCGAGAGTAACATATCGCGTCGAATTTCGAATGCGATTCTTTTAAATCCTCATGATCACAGCAATTTGTCTGTGTTCGAGTCAGTCACGACATTTAAGGGTTGAAAACTATTAATATTGCATGTTATAAAATGAGTATAAATTATAATATTAATTAATATTTTTTTCCGACACTTTAACAATAATTGTTTAAACAATTATTGTTTAAGGAAAAAAACCCAATTTATTTTAATACATTTATTTATACATTTTTCAAATAGCGGTCATTCAGTAGTTTGTCGAAAAGCGAAAGTATGTGATAAAATATTAGTTAAATGTTCGGCAACACTTTCTATGGAGTACATGTAGTCTAAATCTACGGGAGAGAATTAAATTGAAATGATATAATTTTAGTAAGTCATAGATTACTAGTGCAGTTTCGAAATGGTGGCAGACAAATGTTTAAAATTTAAGTAACTATATTTCATGCGAATTTAGTCAAGACACGGTTCCCAGCATATCACCGAAGTCAAGCATCACTGACTGCAGTCAGTGTGCGGGTGGGTGACCACTTGGATCAGTCTGCGTAGGGACCGAGGGTGTGCGGTATTGATTCTCGTTAAACTGTTCTACCGTAAAGTGCTCGCCTTCGCGTGCAGGTTGTCGGGCTACAGAAGCGGGGGTGCCATCCCCTCTGCTGAGGATCAAAATTGTGATGGTATGTCTTCGGATCAACCTCAAGGATGTTTCCCAGACCGTCGCCAATAGCCAATTGTGCAGCTCTAGTGCGACGTAAATAAACAAAACAAAACAAACAAACAAATGCGAATTTAGTCTTTCACGGATTTGAATTATTCCTAATATCTTGTCTTTAATTTCTAACGCTTCAAATTTAGACAAGCAGCCTAAATGAAATAATTTTGTTTCAGGGAACAAACTATGCATTAAAATTTTAATATGATTTATATTTCGGGACGGCAAAGTAAGACTTGAAATAGCTGACAATTTTTTTAAACAATAAATAGAAATTCTAAGTAACTAAAGAAGTATATATGGTATTTATTTTGTAAAATTTAACTGTAAATAGGAAACTACTGTCCCGTTAATTAATTATACTATTTAGATTTATTACATGGGTATTAGTCCCGCAGTGGACTGATCGTTAAGACATGGTTCCCAGCAGGTCACCGAAGTCAAGCATCACTGGCTGCCGTCAGTATGCGGGTGAGTGACCACTTGGATCAGTCTGCGTAGGGACCGAGGGTGTGCGATATTGGTTCTCGTTAAACTGTTCTATCGTAAAGTGCTCGACTTCGCGTGCAGGTCGTCGTGCTATCGAAGAGGGGGTGCCATCCCCTCTGAAGAGGATCAAAATTGTGATGGCATGTCTCCGGATCATCCTCAGGGATGTTTCCCAGACCGTCGTCAATAGCCCATTGTAGAGCCCCAGTGCGACGTAAATGAACAACAACAACAACAATGGGTATATGTTTCAGTTTTTTGTTAAATTTTTTTTCTTCACTGTATTTGAAATAAAATATATGCAAAAATTAATACTTAAGCAAGAAATAAAATATAAATAACGATAAAATACCATTAACATAATTTATTAAGTGCATTGCTTAATTTTATGCAAAATATGAATGCTAACAATTGATAGATATAAATTTAAATTATTTTTTCTCCTTTATTGTTATAAGAGCCGGGGTAATCAAGAAACTATGGCTATAGGTCCATACCTCGAATGTTGAATCACTCACTAAAAATGAATTCTGAAAATAACAGGAAGTATTGAAAACTTCATTCAATTCACTCACAAATACAAAACGAAATAAAATGCGGGTATAGAAGTTACAGGGAGGGTAGTGCAGAATTGAACCCACAACCGATATAATTTAACCTATTTGGCGGAAGATCAATTTGTCTACGGACAGCAGAACCGTCTTATAATTGATTCGCTTGTTATTTATAATTTGTAGCTGTTTAATAACAAACAACTCAATAAGTATGATTCCAAAGAAATGCTCATTATACGTTTGATGCAAAAATCTTCAGACTTGTATACTTGAATCGAGATCCCATTTTCATTCAAATTTCTCCAGAGGGAAGTCGTAGAGTTTAAGACCACGCAAAGACAGTTAAAAATGTCACCTAGTTGGTTGAGATATACGGCACTTGAATACACCATCTTCGATAAAACAGGGATTTTGAAAACCCACTAAAGTGTGGGATTTGAACCTACTACCTCCTACGCTTCAAAACTAAGACAACTTTAATAGAAACAGAGAAGTACGTAGCTACTTTATTTACGTCATACTAGAGCTGCACAATGGGCTATTAAAAACAGAGAGAAAAATTCGAAATGATATTTAAGGAAATACACCTCATTCTTTTTATCAAGAAGATTTATCAATTGTCTTTCTTTTCATCAGACCCTTTTCTCTCTTTTGCATCACTATGATGTAATTTACTGATCAAGACATGACTTTTTATGATTTATGATTCCTAATTTTTATAATCTATGCTTTTAAGCATCGGTTATTAAAAAAACATAGATATCACCAGGTACTAAGTTTTACCAGCTCAATTCACATATTTTTCAAAATTGATTTTTTCGATATTTTTTACTTTTCTCCAATATATCTGAGTGATTAGATAAAAAAAATTCAGTATTTTTTTTAAAAGAAAAAGACTTTTAAACTTTGAATAAAATTTGATTTTTAATTTTTTTCTAAAAATGTAGTTAGTAGTAGTACATTTACGTCACACTAGAGCAGCACAATGGGCTATTGGAGACGGTCTGGGAAACATTCCTGAGGATGTTCCGAAGACATACCATCACAATTTTGATCCTCTGCAGAGGGGATTGCACACCCGCTTTGGTAGCCCGACGACCTGCATGCGTAGTCAAGCACTTTACGGTAGAACAGTTTAACGATAACCTATTCCGCACACTCTCGGTCCCCACGCAGACTGATCCAAGTGGTCACACACCCGCACACTGACCGCCGCCAGTGATGCTTGATTTCGGCGATCTGCTGGGAACCGTGATCAGTCCACTGCGTGACAAAAACTTAGTTGTTTATTAAGTTTTATAAACAGAACTTGACAAATTTTATAAAAGGTTTTTCTTTTTATAAAGTGCAGTAACAGTTTCTTCCAACAGTGTTATATATTTTAAAAAGGCGTTAATCATTGTTTTCATTTTGAAAATTAATATATCAGTATCTAATTACATCAGTTCCTATTAAAATTAGATTAATTTAAAGGACTATAATAATTTACAGAGCCGCGATGGCTCAGGGGATAGAGCGTTCGCCTTCCAATGAGGCGATGGCTAGTCAATACGAATTCCGCATCTGGCTTGCATCGACCACATTGCTGACGTGAAATATCCTCAGTGGTAGACTGATCGTGGGTTAGAGTCCACTTGCCGTCAGACTAATCGTGGGGGGCTCTCGTGGTCTTCCCCTCCATGTAACGCAAATGAGGGTTAGTTCCATCAAAAAGTCCTCCACAAAGGCAAATTTCTCTCAATACTTAATCCAGGAGTTATCCTGTTTTTTAGATCGGGTTAAAAATTACAAGGCTACGGAGTTGAACATTAGTAATCATGAACTCAAAAATTGGGTTGGCTGTTCAACGACGGTTATAAATAAATAAATATAATAATTTACATAATTTTGTTTCAATGATAATTAATATAATAAAATAATCGTTGAATTTTTTTTTTGAAAACGCTAAAAACAAATTTTTAAATATCTCAATACTTTACGATGCACGTTTTCTTTTCTCGTGTACAAAACTTTTGTAAAATATGACAAGTTGGTTTTTCAGCAACCAAAATTATAATCATAATTCAGATGAGAGCTAAAAATAGAAAAAGATAATAATAGTTAAGAAGAATTTGAACTTGAAATAATATTTTCAAAAATTAGCCCCTGAACTAAAAATATGTAGACTTAAATACTGACTTATACACTGTGTCCCTTCATCTGAATATAAAACTTCGAATTTTTTGGTAATGAAAGAGCATAATGCTTAAAAATGTCGAGCGATTCTTGTCATTAAAAAGATTTTAGAAAAGTAAATAAAGTAAAATAACGATAGAAATTGAACACAGAAATAAAATGAAAGATTCCGAGAGTATCTTAAAAATTGAAAGTTGATATTTATTTTTAAAATTTACCCTTTTCAATGTTCAAGTTTAATAAATTTGCAATTTAAGTTAACCTTCACATTTATTCAAAATTCCTCAGGCCCCGGGTATCCCTAAAAATAGGCCCAAATTTTCACTGATCTATTTTTTTTCCATTTTTCAAATGAAAATTCACCATTTAGATTAAGATCGTAAAATTTTTTTTAAAAAATTCAAAATATTGCACAAAAACAAATAGTTAACTCGAACTAAAAAATTTTAAGTACTATTGTATATTTCGACTTTATAGTTGTGAATGATGTGAAGAGTTCAAATGAGATCAGTCTTGTTTTAGTATAGGCACATTAGTTGGCCTTTTTCGAATAATAGAAATGAAATTTGTTTAAGTATTTAGCTTTAATACATATTGTTTTAATTTTTATAGGTAGCAGAAGTAGAACAAAGGAGCTCATCTGAACTCTGTAAATTTTAAAAAATAATGTGAAGAATATTTTTTTTAAAAGAAACTCTTTAACTATTTTAACTTTTGAAAAAGGTGGAAAAGTCAAAATTTATTTAAAAAAGGTTGTTAATTTAATATAAGTTAAGGAATTAATATAAGTTTAGTTGTTGAATTA